CCTGTAACAACACACAGGCAGTTTGCAATGTTTCAATAATTATTTTATTGAGGTTGTAACAAGAAAATGTAACACAACCTCACCCTTTTCCATCTATGCCATGTCACAATGAGAAATACTATTATTGCTCTAAATTAGGCACATGAGATGCTGTGGCTCTTGTGTACTTTTCATTCAGTTGAAAATGTAAAAGTAATTATAGGTTCTGAAAGTATATTCTATGCCAACATGTGTTTGGGCAAAGGGGAGATTTGCCAAACCCCCATTCATAGTTTAGTCTTATTTCCTATCCTGTAACTAACATCAACAATAGCTTTGCACAATGCCCAACATATTCCCTATAAAAGGCATGTCCAGCTGGAAGCCCGTATATCAGATATAGCCCACAAAGGATTCCTAAATATGCTTAGTAGAACCAAAATATTTTTATACAGCACTTTAGTTGATGATTTACAGCCAGCACATGTATACATATATACAGAGGAACTGTTTCTATATTGCATCTAAAAAAATAAAATCCAAGGGAAATTCTAGGCACTAGAACTACTTCATCTCATTGAACTGGTTATAGTTTAAAAAAAACAAACAAACAAAAAAAAAAACCACATGCTATTGATTTTTATTTTTTAAACAACTTAGTGGATATACTTCCAAAGAAAACAGGTTTTCTTTTTCCTGCATGTTTTCTTTCAAAAGCTGCAGATCAGATGGATGACTGCAACCTTTGCAAACCCTTTCCAGTTTCCCCAGAAGTGCGCATTAGGCCTTCCCCAGAGGAAAGCATTGATTCACTGATTTCCTATGGGGTTTACTGGATGTTAGATGTCCTTGTGCAAAATGTGAATCAAACTCTGTGAAACAGCAGGAAGCACCTCTAGTGGCTGTCTGGTAGACATCCACTAGAGGCAGTCTTCACCCTGCAATGTAAACATTGCAGCTTCTCTAAAACGGAAGTGTTTTAGATTGCAGGTTTAAAGGAAGACTGCAGGCACTAAAACAACTTAATCTAAATAAAGTTGTTATGGTGCCAGGAGTCCCGAGGCTCACTATTAAATCAAGGGGTAAAATGTACCGTGTCCTTTAAGGGACGGGGACATTGTACCCAGACTTCTTAAATGACATGAGGTGGTCTGGGTGCCTATAGTGTCCTTGTGTGCTTTATGTGAGTGGGGTGATCCTTTAACACTCTATGAGGGTAAAATCAGCAGAGGGAGTTATACCAACTCATACAAGCAGTGAGCATCTGTGATAGGTTGACATTCTCATACAATCACCACTGCCTATCACTGTTGGATTAATGTGTAAGAAGTAGTTTTAGCAGCTGCTGGGGAATGGAAAGATGGTGGCAGGGCTTCCTGCTGCCACTATAACCTAAATGAGATGCAGTGGTTTTAGTACCTAGCCAATCACAGTTCAAAAGTGACTGTATAGTTCTTTACGATAAAACTAATTCAAGACAAGCATATCTCTTAACACTCTCAATCTGGAACCATTCAAATGTTAACCATGCTTTTATATCATTGTTGAATGTACCACAGAGTGTCCACAAACAGGGGCTCTGACCATGGGCATGTAGTAGGACCCAGGTAAATTGCCAATCCATACTGAAACATTGTGACAAATGACACTGGGATAGTGCCACTACAGCAGTCTATATTGGTAACTACAGTGCTTGGAGTGTTCCTTTAGACACTCACATCTGAATGCTATTTCAGTTACTTTTGATCATGCAAGCTCGATCGAGCACCTTTGCAGTACTATGTACACAGAGAGCCCTGTTTTGCTGACGGACAGTCAATATATAATGGGTCTCCGCGTTCCCTTTTCTGATTGTTGGCTTTAGGTATAGGTGAGAATAATTCTCAATTTTTTTCTAAACATAACTGAGTCATTACCTTTTCCACTCCTGACAAATTGATTTTGTTTTCCTAATTTTACCGATAGCTTTCCAGACCATCCACAGCAATCTGTGTGTCTAGAACGATTGTCTGATAACAATTCTCGAACCTAACTGGTTATGGTATATAAGATTAATAAATTGCAGCACTGGCTGTTTTAAGGTAACTATGGTTACAATGCAATTTAAAAAAAAGAAGAAAGAAGGAAATGTTTCCTGTAAATAAAGGTGAAAATGATGACAACGTAAACCCAGCTATATTTTAGCGGAGGATCCACATATTTACTACTCAATTTAAGTTGTATGTGTGTATTTCTCATATTCCCACTGTCTCAGACACACACCTGAGAGAATGCCTGGGGAGGTTGTGGTTTACATAGATAAACACTCAATTCCTTTTTGACAAGTCTGGACACTGCTTGTCTCTTAGTCTAGGCAGAAAGATGGGCCCCATAACCCACTTTCCTCCTCCCTCCCCATTCCCACCCACTGCTGCCTGCACAACATCAAAGGCACTATGAGAATTCAGCAGAAGCAGGTGTCCATCCTGCATGATGAGGGGGGTAGCCAGGGAAGCCACAGGAACATGATCAGGAGTATCCAGAAAGATTTTCACTTGGAAAGTCAGGCTCAGGGTCTCTGTTTTGAGTAACCAAGGAAACAGACATGGCAGGAGTCTGGTTTTGGAGCCCATTGAGCTGATATTTGGCACTTGTGGTTTGACAGACTAATGGAATGCCAGCCATAGAATCCCTACTAGTCTCCTGTAGTGTCATGAACTGACCCCTGTGATATCAAGTGAACTGTATAAAAACCCTGATGTAGCTATATTTGCTATACAACCAATAAACTAATGCTAAAGTATTATCAAATTTGCTATTAACCATCATAGTGAAAATGTATGGACTAATTCATTGTTAAATTAATGGATTAATTAATTGACTTATTAATTTATTAAATTGATAATAAATCTGCTCTGCAAGTACGTTGCTGAAATAAAGTTGTCAAACTAACACAGGCTTCAGGGTTTGATCATTAAACCACAAATTGTGGAGAATTAACAATGGAACAGCAACTTGTAGGCCTTGATAGTTAAGTCAAAAACATAACACAGCATGATTCTTTACTGTGATATAATGACTCAAAGCACTAAAATTGATCGACATTTTGTAAATGTAAAAATCCCAACCATAAGCTTAAAAAAATAAATGTTACCTGCCAGCAAATGCAAAAGAAAAGAAAAAAAAAAATCACAAAAAGTCTGTTGTATAAAATGAATGACCTGTTCTACACGGTGATATCGTGTGAATGTTCAATGACAGCAGTGCTCTGTGTCACAATTCTACAATGTATCAGATACAATTTGTGAATCTGCCAGCAAAATGTATAGATCAAAATTGCCAGCCTATTCTCTATTCCCATGCGTTATCCAATGTATTTTGAGACTAAGATTGCAATTCCCAAGTGAAGAGTCAATAGCTGTGATTTATTTCAAATCTGTTATTTTAGTCACAGTATAAATATATGCATACATAACTACAGTAGATGTGATTACAAAATATTGTCTCGAAAGTGTCTTAGAGTGCAGTATATTCCAACTCGATTTAACTCTCTCAGTAAGTAGCTCCTTCATTCTGTGTCATCTAAATAAGGTATTGATATCTCTGTATTTAAATTCATTAATAACGATGGCTTCAATGTTACTGAGCAAATACCAAGAAAGAAAGTAATAACCTATTCTAGTGATTGTAGCGCAAACATGTGTCATCAGAAGAGATGTGAGGTGTTATTTGACAAAGATGATAATGCAGTGAAAATTCATCCATAATGATTTAAGTCAATTTAGAGGTTTTAGTTTAGATGTACTACAGCCACATTAGCCAGAAATTAACTAACTTAGTAAGTAAACCACAAACTGTAGGCTAGCAGAGTTCATAGCAAACACTGAACTCCTTAACCGTCAGACATACTACATACCTTCTGCTAAAATTCATAGGGTTAACTATGTCAGTGAGCAAGTGTAAACATCTTTAACAGGTTCCCACAGGTCACGAGATCAGTAAACAAACTTAAGTTGTATGTTTATGATAACGCATTCCCATCTTCACTAAGATATGAGATGCGGATCCTGCATGGAAATTACTATGGCTTTAACTAGTCTCTGCAATAGAGACAGTGTGTATACATTAAAGGGACACTATAGTCACCTGAACAACTTTAGCTTAATGAAGCAGTTTTGGTGTATAGAACATGACCCTGCAGCCTCACTGCTTAATCCTCTGCCATTTAGGAGTTAAATGCCTTTGTTTATGAACCCTAGTCACACCTCCCTGCATGTGACTTACACAGCCTTCCATAAACACTTCCTGTAAAGAGAGCCCTATTTAGGCTTTCTTTATTGCAAGTTCTGTTTAATTCAGATTTTCTTATCCCCTGCTATGTTAATAGCTTGCTAGACCCTGCAAGAGCCTCCTGCATGTGATTAAAGTTCAATTTAGAGATTGAGATACAATTATTTAAGGTAAATTACATCTGTTTGAAAGTGAAACCAGTTTTTCATGCAGGCTCTGTCAATCATAGCCAGGGGAGGTGTGGCTAGGGCTGCATAAACAGAAACAAAGTGATTTAACTCCTAAATGACAGTGAATTGAGCAGTGAAATTGCAGGGGAATGATTTATACACTAAAACTGCTTTATTTAGCTAAAGTAATTTAGGTGACTATAGTGTTCCTTTAACTAGAAGAGCTACATTATGCTGTAATTATTCTATGTAGGTAGCATTCTATGTAGGTACAGTTTCTACCTTATTTCTGTGTATGAATCCAGTAACCCACTGTCAGCACATACGAGCAGACCGTTTCATATAGAACTTATAGATGCGATATGACTTAAAGGTGCCAGGCTGTTTATCCCTTTATAAAGGCTGATACAAAATAGACAAAAAGAGTCCAATCACAGCAGGAAACATGGCTCCCAAGAAAGATTACCTGTCACTAGTGATGTCCCGAACGGTTCGCCAGGATGGCGAACATATGTGCTGTTCGGTCCGCCCCCTATTCGTCATCATTGAGTAAACTTTGACCCTGTACCTCACAGTCAACAGACACATTCCAGCCAATCAGCAGCAGACCCTCCCTCCCAGACTCTCCCACCTCCTGGACAGCTCACTAAGAATGCAGCTTCACAATGAATGTAAAATGGATGCTGTCCAGGAGGTGGGAGGGTCTGGGAGGGAGGGTCTGCTGCTGATTGGCTGGAATGTGTCTGCTGACTGTGAGGTACAGCGTCAAAGTTTACTCAATGATGACATAGGGGGCGGACCGAACAGCGCATATGTTCGCCGTCCGCGGCGAACCGTTCGACGAACCGTTCGGGACATCACTACCTGTCACTTATTTGGCTAAGGCCACAGCAGATACAAAATGATTTCCACTCTACAGCTGCTTTAGCACACAAAGAAATAAAACCTATCTGGATAATTCTCTAAATATTTTACCTTCCTGGTAAAATATTTTTTAAATAAATAAAAAACTAATGTCCTATAACCAGGGCCGGCACTTCCTATAGACCAACTAGACGGCCGCCTAGTGCGCTGCTTAAATGGGGGGGTGCCGGCAGGAGCTTTACTGCTCTGCTCGTTAGGCCGCCCCTCTATGTTTAAATAATTATAGAAATCGTGTGGCCGGCCATGTTATTGGGCGCTATGGAGCACTTACATGGTTGCTGTCTAGCGCCCGGTGTAACACTGGTCCGGCGGCATCCACTTCAGCCAGGCCCCCCACAAGGACTCCCATTGTCACAACAGCGTGAGGGCACTTCAATTTCTTGCTCCAGTCCCTTGCCCTGTACATGAGGATAAGTGGGCAGGAGCATAGCAGGGGCTGAGACGGAGTGAAGGCGGCCAGGCACAGGGAAGAGGTCAGTAACACATTAGAGGCAGTCAAATATGAAGAAAGGTAAGTGGTTCAATGGGACATCACAATGTGTATTTGTGAAGAATTTGTGTTTGTGCGTGTCAGTCTGTATGGTACAGTGTGTGTCTGTATAGGTCAGTGTGTGTCTGCAGTATGGGTCAGGTCAGTATGTGTCTGCAGTATGGGTCAGGTCAGCATGTGTCTGCAGTATGGGTCAGTGTGTGTCTGCAGTATGGGTCAGCGTGTGTCTGCAATATGGGTCAGGTCAGAGTGTGTCTGCAGTATGGGTCAGTGTGTGTCTGCAGTATGGGTCAGGTCAGAGTGTGTCTGCAGTATGAGTCAGGTCAGAGTGTGTCTGCAGTATGAGTCAGGTCAGAGTGTGTCTGCAGTATGAGTCAGGTCAGAGTGTGTCTGCAGTATGGGTCAGTGTGTGTTTGCAGTATGGGTTAGCGTGTCTACGTGTGTCAGTGTATACGTCTGCATGGGTCAGTGTGTGTGTGCGCGTCAGTCAGCATTCATCAGTGTGTGTGAGTCAATCTGCATTCTTCAGTGTGTGTGCGTCAGTCTGCATGGGTCAGTATGTGTGCACATAAGTCTGCATGGGTCAGTGCATGTTCTTCAGTCTCCATGGGTCAGTGCGTGTGCGCCAGTCTGCATGGGTCAGTGCATGTGCGTCAGTCTGCATGGGTCGGTGCGTGTGCGTCTGTCTGCTTGGGTTAGTGTATGTCAGTCTGCATGAGTTGGTGGAACAAATGGGGCAGCAACATTTTTTTTGCCTAGGGCAGCAAAAATCCATGCACAGGCCCTGCCTATAACCCCCATGTCTCAGAATACAATGACACACGCAAACATCTCTCTCTGCTTGGAGAGAGCGATTCCTTAACGATCTACACATGTGCAGGACTAGCTACCTAACAATCTGTGCGTCAACAATTTACTCGGGTGTGCAAGGCTGTCACGCTCTCAGAATCACATGCAATACATATCCACACCGATTTGTTTAGATATATAAACTTGTCAATGTACATGAAAATATATATGAACACTTAGAGTATATGTCCTGTCCAAATGCAAATTCCCACTGAGGGCATGCAGCTACATTCTTAGTAGAAGCTTTGCGTGGACTGGGTACATGTGTATGGAAGCCTCCAGGAGGGGCGAGTCGTGGGACAGGCTGTAAATGCTAGCACAAGGAACTGGTACAGAAAACAATCCTAGTAAAGCACATTCATATAACTGCGGGCTAATTAATTACGCTCTAGCACAGAGAGATGAAAGAGCAACAATGCAAATTACAACCTGAATTACAAGCTCTCAGAAATGTATGCAAAATACAGATTTGTTTGCTCTGTGGCATGGGCAGATATATAATTTTGTGTAGCAAAAGTTTAAAGCAGATAAAGAGTTAAAATATGGGGTTTTCTTGTCGATTTGTTTTTAAAACAGTCACAATATATGGAGTGTTAGTGTGGTGACTAAACGGGAAGAAACTAGCCCAATATCTTTGTCTTGGCAAGACTCCCACGAAACCCACAGGGAAATAGTAGGAAAAGGTCTCAAAATCAGATTTAATTGATTAAAGGACTGAGGAAACCAAAAATAAATAAGCTTTTTCATGCCAAAGTTCTAGCAGCACAGTAATTATATATATAAACAGACATACACACACACACGCGAACATACTGAGCACATTTCAAATAAAGTGTTTGACAGACAGTCAGACAGATCTTCTTTTTGTGATATTGATGTCAATGAGGCTTGTCTGGTGTCTGTCTTCCTTTTCAGATTCTGTTTATTTGACAGATACCTGTAATCGTTACCTATGTAACCAATCAAGTTATAAACCCACATACTTATAACATTTATTTGATTTTATACTTGAGCTACAGAGGCAACTAATCCTTACAACCAGCTGTTTTATTAACAAACTGAATTGGCATCTGTGAAAAGCTTGAAAATAATTAATCTGCAAAAATGTAATATGATGTAAAAAAAATACTGACATATATTTACTTATTTAAACACTTTGTATGATATCGGTACTTATTGGAGTTATCAATGTGTCTCCTACATTGTCAATGTGTTCAACGTACATGTAAATAGACTCCATTTATGACGATGCTTTCAAGTGTGAGGTTGCGCCTTGTGAGGTTGCGTCTTGATTTGTGGTTCCACTTGGAACATGTTTTGGAAGCCAGAAGCTCTTACTGTGACTGATGATCGAAAAATACAAATTCATCTTGAGATGCTGGGGAGTACGGCAACAATTATTTGTTTTTAGGATAAGGTATTGCCACGTTCAAAGAACAATATTCTATATTTACTTTTGCTGCAAATGATTATATCAAGTGCTGAAGGTAAAATCTCATTTTCTCAAGTCTCAAAACATGCCATTTTGTCCATTGCAATATCCTGCTGATAGACAGGTCATCAGACATTTCTTCATATAGACCTTGAGTATGTTTGTATATAATTATCCTATCCCCTTGCAGGCGCCTCTTGTCCAGAGTAAACAAACCGAATTTGGATAGCCTGTGGTTATAACTAAAATCTTCCATTAATTTTTTTGCATGTCCCTGAAAATTTTCCTGTTCCATAATGTCATTCTGAGAATCCGTGTCTAAAACTGTACTTTATAACGCAGGTGACATCTTGCCAAGGATTGATAAAAAGACAAATAAACTTTCTATCTCACAGTTTGTCACTGTCACGATGGATGTTATGTGTCACTGCAAAGTGTACTGTCTTTAAATAATTTAAACAGCTTTATGAAGGATTGAAAAGTAAATTTAATAGGTACATTTCAAACTAGCATTTGTCCACAAATTCTTCCTATTTTTAAGTAGCCCAGTTTGTAAAGCTGATCACCAATTGTTTCTGCAGGTAAGAAATAGTTAACTCTCCTACTAATCCAAAATCACTGCCTGTGATTCGAAACAATTTATAGAATTTAACTGATAAACTGGATATCTGATTCCAGCATTGCAAAAATTTAATTTTTCGTACATTTAAACAGGATATGTCCAAAAAGCACAACCTTTAACCTCATTCATACTTGGAAGCGAGTGATTACAACAGTAGATATTACACGAGATTTTGCTTCAGCAAATAACCAATTTCAAAACAGATATATAAACCTGGCCGCATGTTCACTTTCTTTGTTTGTGATAACTCAGTATATTGGCAAGAGATCCAACACGTCTATGATCTATGATCACCAATGGTTTTAAACTGGCAATCATAAATCAGACAAAAATCAGGCTGAAATGTGGGGGGTAATAATTAGCCTAATTGCAATAGTTTCCTATTGTTGGGGAAATAAACAATGTATACATGCTTTATATAGTACATAAGATATTGAAGATAAGTGTTCTGCTTTTATTAGACCACTCTAATGGAAAAAAGTATTTTGCAAGCAGTCATCGACAGGTATTAATCCAACACTTACATGTTGGATAATTGTACCATGGAACCTTTACTCTGGGGTTCTCTGGGTTCAATTCTCTTGGTCATAATTACGCTAATTAACAATTCTAGAACATCCCACTTAGTGCATTAAATATAATTAATATGGCTATATGTTATAGCAATACTATTTAGGTTGATTTAAGGTTAGCTTATTTTGAAAGTTGTCAGGAATAGGTATAATGAGGACCACTTATTACAAAAAAATATTTAAAGAAAATACTTTAGAAAACTTTTGTTTGAGATTTTTCTAAATAAGACAGGAACAAATAAGGTAGCATTTATGTATTCAATAAATAATACAACATGATCATTACCTTTCCCAAAACAGTCAGACATGGTTTAGGGTCCATCTCCGGCTGTTCCAGTTTCACCACTCCAACCCAGCCGTATTCATACAAATCTTCCTCATCGTTGTTGTTGCACAATCCCAGTGGATGCATCTGAGGACAAGAAAAATCAAACACATTAAAATTTATTTTAGTTAAAATGTCATGAGATGGATAGATGGATCCACAGATAGATTACAATATCACAGCTTGCGTATTCAAGATTCATTACTGTTTATTTTAGGATATTTACCTAACCAATGGCAATACTCTTAACATTAGCACGGTTATTTTCTAAACCAAAAACTACGGAGAACTGGCAAAGGAGCAGCAATGTTAAGCCAATATAGCAGATTTAGAAAGTTCTTTTCACAATTCAACTACTTTGGTCTAAACCGGATTTACAGTTCGCTACAATTTTAAATTTACTGAACCTTCTAATTCTAAAGTACCAGGGGAAACAAAACAAAATAAATTATCTAAAAGAGAAAATAGGAAAGCATGGACTTTCTAACCTCTGTGGGTTAATGGTTGATGGGGCAGTAGAATCCAGGGTGT